GCCACACTTTTCACAGTTTTAATTCCGGTGGTCTCAAATAATTATTTGGTTAATTTGGACCATTTAAGTAATCACATTAAATAGCATTATTTATAAACAACCATTTTGGCGGTCCTTTAAAGTTATTAATGTATTCATTTATATTTTATAAGTATTTTTAACTGGCTGTTTCGTTCCACCAACAATATGGCAACCTTGGCGATAACTTTTTGAGGTGAACCTATCGACCTATCGCCAAAACGAGAAAACTGGTTGAACACGGCAAAACTTTTGTTGTCAAATCTGAGGTGGGGTCAGAAATAAATTTTTTATAAAATAACTACCTGCCAGAATGATCTTGTGGTGGTGTGGAATAAACATCAATAGACCACTGAGTAAACTATTTTTTTCCTTTTGTAAATAAGATCTGATTTCATATAAAAAAAGCCATTTACTTTTCATTCCGGCCAGAAAAAGGTGCCCGTTTTTCAAATCGAACAAATCTTTCGATTTCGATTACCGGAGCACCAATTTCTCGTTTTCAAAACGAAAACGAAAAATTCTTGCCGTTTTCGATTACCGGAGCAGGCCTGATTATGTTTCTCGACGTGATTGGATTCATCCCCAGGGCTTTATAAATTGGATTCAGAATTTCCTTAAATCCCTCGCTGTCCAAGAAAAGAAATGGCTTTCCGTCCGTTGTAACAATTTTTATAAGTGAATGTACAATCTCTTCTTCACTTGATTCGTATGTAATTTTTTTCTTCTTAACAACTTTTGAATCGGTGCTCTCTTCGTTGTCGCATTCTCTGAAGATTTCTCCATGTTTTGTTGTCAAATGCCGCTTCAAATTTGTGGAATGATTTCCTGTTAGTTTTTCTCCGCACACTTTGCACTTGATTTGTTTTCTGAAGTATTGAACTTATAGAATTGATGAACTTTTTTATTTGCTTCACGTCCCATTTTAATAGCTTTATACAGTGCACTGCTCTCACGAAATTTATAAAGCGAAGTGACGCGAAGAATCTGTAAAAGTTCGCATACGCATGTGCGTCTTCGAAGGAAACTTCACATACACACATACATGCGCAAAAGGCTTTTTGACTCTTCGCTCAAGAGCAAACGAACCGTGAATGGGCACAGCAAGAACAGAAAAAACTGTTGGTCAGCTGATCGCGAGCAAAGTTTGTATAAAACCAATTCAATCGGTTGCTCTAATGCTAGGAAAAAAACAGTTTTTTTGAGATCGCTCGAATCTGTCAACCGTTATTTGCGAGCTATGGTTAATAATGAAGGCGGAAAAGGAAAATATAAATTTCTCAAAATCTGTCGGTCAGATCGACCTAAGATTCTTATAGAAATTAGAGAAATGAATTCCCTTTCGTTTGAGATACCGTGCAAATCTGCATATCCTCATTTAAGCTAGAAATAATTTGTTGAAAGTTAGCGTCGAAAACATGGTTGGTGCATTCAATTGGTTAAAAACATGGGTTGTGTGACGGCACACGTTTGGCGATCGGTGGTTTTCTTTGCTGATACATTCATAAAAGTAAATAAATGCAAAATGGCCGTTTTCTCTTGATCGACTGAACAGATTTTAATAAAACATGTACCAAAATGCTCAAAATGCCGATGTTGTTTATTGGGCAGTCCCTTTATTTAATTTAAATTGCTTAAATGGGTAACGTTTTTAAATCTAGTATTTTTTTAACATGGTTCCGTTCCTTGGATCAGCAACAAGTTCTCTGCTCACAGTTCCCAGTTCACAGCTGGTTCCATTTTCATACTTCGCGCCTCTGTTATCAGCTCAACTACACCACCCACTGCTATTCGGTTTTCTCGAAATCTGCCGGTTAAAATCCATTGAATTTTTCACCAAATATTCTTTAAACTTCTCCTTACAAGCCCATATACCGTGCATGTTGGCATATCCTCTTAAACTGGAGTTATAAGACTTTAAAATTTTTTATTTTGTATGGAGCCGACCCGAGGTTAGTTAACTGTTATGCGATTTTCTCAAAAACTACAATAAATATCCTTTATCCTGGCATATCGGGTAGTGCTGCATATCCTCTGTGAGCCGAGATAGAATCAAAATTGCGAAAGCACGATTTTTCATATGCTTTTTTTTAATAGACCCAAAGGTCAAATCCCCTCAAACCTAGTAAAAATCAAACTTTATTTTGTTCAAATTATTGCCTTATTAACGAAATCAATTAAAAATAAAAAATCCCTCAGTGATCCATTTTCTCACCGTTCCACTTAACTCACCGACGCTAATTTGACGCACATTTGAATTTCTCAAAATCTGTCGTTAGGATCTTGTTCAAATTAATATAGAAAATCATAATTATTGTTCCCTTTCGTTTGATATACCGTGCACGTTGGTACATCCTCTGTGAGAGTTGTAATAATGAATTAAAAGATAGCGTCGAAAATATCGTATGGGGCGCAGCGCCATGTTGTTTTTTTAAGTTGTGGTCGATCCGGCTATGTTAAGTATCGATAATGAGTTTTAGCAATCATATTCCAACGCAATACCCTGCCTTGTCTTGCGTTTGTATATTTAGATTCGAGTTACAATGCTAATTGTTAAGATATCGATATAAATATCGGTATTAACAGTATCGATATTTGACAAAACAATATATTCATATTGTCCAACACTATTAGTGTTTCGCTCGTTTCCGGTCTCTTCTTTCTACCAACCAAACGGCGTGGACGTGTTTTTGTGAACATAAAAGTTTAAATCAAAAAGAACCAAGTGCAGTGCAAATAAAACATAAATAAAAGAAGAGAATATAATTGGATCAACATACATAGCTGGATTGTCTTTATTATTCTGGATTTAATCGTTTGCGCGAACACACTTCAGGAGCATAGCGAAATATGTATGTCGCTAGGAATTCCATTTTTTCCTAGAATTATAATAGGTTATGGGCCCAGAACACCATAGCAGATAAGTATCGCATGTTATTTCATATTACTTTACTATAATCAAAATGGAAAAAGGAAAACGAAATATTAAACCCTTTGAAGGGGAAAAATACTCAATTTGGAAGTTTCGTATACGCGCTTTACCAAGTGAAAACGATTTGATAAAAGCGATTGATGAAAGTAGTAACATTGAATCTGATGCATGGAAAAAGCTTGACAAATTAGCCAAAAACACAATAATTGAATATTTAAGTGATTCATTTTTCAAATTTTGCCACGAGTGATTACAGTGCCAAAGAAATATTTTCGAATTTAGATTCGATTTATGAAAGAAAAAGTTTGGCAAGCCAATTGTCTGTGCGAAAGCAATTACTGTCGTTAAAATTAAAAGGAGATCTTAGTTTGCTTAATCATTTTACTGTTTTTGATGAATTAATTACTGATTTGATTGATCAGTTGCGACGACCCACGTCGCAACAACAAATATAATCCATAAGTAGAATTAAGCTGTCAAATAAGATTAAGAATAGTAGTGGCAACGCCGGCCAAGGAATAGCGCGTCCAGCCCTGAACAGCTGACGATAATCGAATGGATACGATCGATCTGGCAACGCCCTGCCTATCGGCCATCGGGGAATTATCGATTATCGATCGGGGGAGAACAGCTGTCGACCGGCTATATAAAGCGACGCACCGGCCAGTGCAACTTCACTTTTGCAGAGCAGCCGAGCAGTGAACTGGTGAGTTAACAAGTAGTACTAATCGTAGACTTAGCAGTAGAATAAGGTTTGGCCCTGGCGGCGGACCTTAATAGCAAAGAAGGTAGGAAAGGTGAAGGTAGCGATAGGTCTAGATCTGGCCCCCTGCAGGCGGATCTAACGAAGTAGCTGGGAGGAGCGGAGTTTGGCCCTAGTTGGCGGACTTCGCACAGATAGTCAGCCGTGGGACGAGGTCGGGCCCTTGCATGGCAGATCTCGCGGAAACAGGGTATCGAGCGCGGTCCGTATGACCACGCCGTACAGGTAGTATAGACTTGGGGTTCTGACCTGGCCCTTGGATGGCAGATCAGGAATAGGGGGGGGCGTCGAATGAGGTTCGCCACATTCGCCCAGCAAGCATAGGAGGGGAGAAGATCTGGCCCTTGCCGGCGGATCTTGATAGCAGAAAGGCGTTAGGGACGGTGCGAACTTAGGCACGACGATCGCTCACCGCGAGTGACGTCACCCGGACCCACCTATCGTGACCACGACAGCGGCCCACCGCACCAGTCACGCACCCTAATCGCGTCGCCCGAACAGGGTATCCTCAAGCCGACTCCGAGATAGTCGCATCGCCCGAACAGGGTATTTACACGCCGACGACGATACAGTCGCATCGCCCGAGCAGGGTATTTACAAGCCGACTACGATACAGTCGCATCGCCCGAACAGGGTATTTACAAGCCGACTACGATACAGTCGCATCGCCCGAACAGGGTATTTACAAGCCGACTACGATACAGTCGCATCGCCCGAACAGGGTATTTACAAGCCGACTACGATACAGTCGCATCGCCCGAACAGGGTATTTACAAGCCGACCACGAGACAGTCGCATCACCCGAACAGGGTACTCACAAGCCGATCACCGACGATCGCATCACCGATACAGGGATCGCCACACCGACGATCAGCAGTCGCATCGCCCGAGCAGGGTAACCACAAGTCGACCCACTGGACTCTAGTCGCAGCGTCGCATCACCCACCACCGGGTATCATCGTCAGCCAGCCGGCTGAACACCATCGAAGACCGGGACACGGATCTACCCGCAACCAGGGTATCAACAAGACACCCCCACAGCAGCAACCACACTGTATTCTTTCCACAGGTTTCACTATATATCTTGATCAATAAAGCTTGTATTAAAATTACCTCTCGCCTCTTGCCTATTTACTGATTATTGGGACACGAGGGACTCGGACACTACAAATTTTCTGTACGAACCCCGACTCCGGCGAGCTAGGCCGAGCACCCCAAAAGAGGGTCGTTACAGTGGCGCCCAACGTCCTGAAAACCTCGTAGTCCTGAATAACAAAGTAAAAAACCATGGCAACAGAGAAGTTAACCCGCGGATGGGTAACAAGTCTAAACAAGACCCAGCTGGAAGAATACATAAGGGAGTTTGGAATGGAACCAGAGCTGATAGTGGAAGACCTACGACGCCAGCTATCGGACTTCATAAAAAACGGAGACCACGACGAGGGAAGAGTCAACAGGCTGAGAGAACTAAGCCAGCGACACGCAAAGAACAAACAAAGCCCCGTAGTGGAGGTAAACTGGGAAGTGATCACAGCAATGCTACAGGCGGAAAAAGAAAGGAAACCAACAAACAGCGCGGATACAGAAAGAGACTTGGAGGAAGCAAGCTCCGAAAAAACTCAAGAAGGCTCGCCAAAGCCGGAACACAAAAGGAACAGCCAATCGGAACGCGCGTCAGCCATAAATACCATCCGAGGATGGGGCGAAACATTCGACGGGTCAGGAGACGCGTTAGAGTTCATAACACGGTTGGAAGAACTGGCAGCAGCCTACGATATAGGGCTAGAAAACATTACAGCGGCAGCAGTGGTAATACTGAAAGGTGCAGCCCTAGACTGGTGGCGGACAAACCCAGAAAAGATCCACGATTGGGCAACGTTCAAGGCACAGGTTACGCGGTATTACGTACCGGCGGACTATAGGGAACGAGCAATGGAGCGGATAACGAGACGTCAGCAGTACGCACAGGAACCCGCAAAAGACTACGTACGGGAACTACGGAAGATGATGTCGCACACCACACTAAGCGAGGAACAAAAACTAGAATGGACATATAGGAACAGCACCGTGGAGTTCAAGAGATATGCCAAACGTAGTGAAGTACAGTCGCTACAGGACTACCTAAGGCTAACGGAGGAATTCGAAGCCTTAGGAACACAGTATCCACAGCAGACACAAGCAAGAACGGCAGGAATACCCAACGTAAACAACCTGTGCAGACGATGCAAACAACCAGGGCATATGGCGCATCGGTGTAACAACCCGGCGAGACTGTTCTGCTGGATATGCGGAAGGGACAACACAAGAACAATCGACTGCTGCAGAAGATACGAGGGAAACGGAAGAGGCGCTGGGAGACAGGTGGGACACCCAGTGCCAACCCAGACATACCACCAGAGACGATGATCAGGTTTGACGGCCGGAAGATCATCGCCCAAGTCAAGGTGGCAGGCGTGCAGGTCGAAGGAATAGTCGACACAGGCGCAACGAGAAGTTTCATAAGTGAAAAACTAGCAGACAAACTCCGACAGTATGGCGAAGTCCAACCAACAGACGAGGTAATAAATCTAGCGGATGGAACTACAACAACGGCCACAGAAGAACTACGTCTAAAGATCGAGCTAGGGGAAAGAAAAGCAGAAATAAAGCTACTAATTCTGGACGACGTTATCGGAGGTATACTACTAGGGGTAGACTTCTTGGCACAGTGGGATACGACACTGCGGTGCGGAGGATTAACCACTCAGCTCAAGCCACAGACTGGAAAACAGCAGAAACACCAGAAAGTAGGAATAGCGGCAGCCGAACCGACAGAGGCAGAAGTCGAGGAATTCCTAAAAAGGCAACTAAAGCTGATGGGTGAAATCCACGGAACAAGTCACATTGCAAAACACAAGATATACATGAAACACGACAGACCACTGAAGCAAAGGTACTATCCGAAAAACCCGGCAATGCAGAAGATAATTCACGACCTAGTGGAGGAACTCCTACAACAAGACCTGATCGAACCCTCACACTCAGCATATAGCTCACCGGTAGTGCTCGTTAAAAAAAAGAACAACCAGTGGAGGCTATGTATTGACTACCGGCAGTTGAACACGCACTCGGAACGAGACGCATACCCAGTACCACGGATGGACCACATCCTTAACCAACTGAGAGAGGCAAAGTATATCAGCACACTGGACCTAAAGAACGGCTACTGGCAAATACCCATGGAAGAAAACAGCAAACAGTACACGGCATTTACAGTACCGGGACGAGGATTATTCCAATGGAAGGTCATGCCATTCGGTCTGCACACCGCACCAGCAACGTTCCAAAGGGCACTGGATTCAGTGATAGGCCCGGAGATGGAACCATTCGCGTTCGCCTACCTCGACGACATTGTAGTGATCGGTAGAACAAAGAGAGAACACCTGGAAAAGCTCCATGAGGTACTGGCAAGGCTACGGAAAGCGAACTTACGAATCAACCCGGAAAAGTGCCATTTCTTCCAGGACAAGTTGAAGTACCTAGGCCACGTAGTAAGCGCGAGGGGGATACACACAGACCCCGACAAAATAGCCGCAATCAAGGACCTGCCCGAGCCGACAACGACAAAACAAGTTCACAGCTTCCTGGGAGTCGCCTCATGGTACAGAAGGTTCGTACCCAGATTCACCGAAATCGCGAAGCCGTTGTTTGAGTTGATAAAGAAGAACGCGAAGTTCGAGTGGACAGAAGAACACGGAAGAGCAACAGAAGAACTAAAAAAGGCACTGATAGAAGCACCAGTACTCGCATGCCCAGATTTCACAAAGACATTCATATTGCAAACAGATGCAAGCAACTGCGGCTTAGGGGCAGTACTCACGCAAGAAGACGACGACGGAGAACACGTCATCTCATATGCGAGCCGCAAACTAAGGAAGGAGGAAATGAACTACTCAGCAACAGAAAAAGAATGCCTCGCGATACACTGGGGTATACACAAGATGAGGATGTACCTGGAAGGATACCACTTCGTGGTAATAACGGATCACCTGGCGTTAAAGTGGCTGAACTCCATAGAGAGTCCGTCAGGACGGGTGGCGAGATGGGCACTAGCACTACAACCATACTCATTCGAGGTACGATATCGGAAGGGTAAACTCAATGTAGTAGCCGATACACTGTCAAGACAACCTACCGAAGAGGCCCAAAGTGCCGAGATAGCGGAAGACAAATGGATTAGAGAAAAACTAATAGACATTGAGAAGAATCCGAGTCGGTGGCCAGACTACTGTGTCGAAAACAACAAATTATATAGACACCTACCGTCATGGGCAGCAGACGAAGACATACAACCCTGGAAACTCTGCGTAGGCAAACACCAACGAGCGAGAGTATTGGAAGAAAACCACAAAACAGCAACGGCAGGACACCTGGGAGTAAGAAAGACCAAGCACAGGATTGCTACGCGATACTACTGGCCAGGAATGCATCGGGAAGTCAAGAATTATATTGACCGATGCACGACATGTCAACAATACAAGGTGTCACAACAGCAGGCATCCGGAAAAATGCTCACACAGATAGCGGAGGCACCGGGTGAAACACTATGCGTCGATTTCGTGGGCCCATTAACAAGGTCAAGTCACGGCAACAATATGCTACTGGTATTCATTGACAAGTTCACAAAATGGGTAGAGCTGACAGCAATACGGAAAGCGACCACAGACGCAGTCCTCAAAACGTTTCGGGAGAAAATACTAGCACGCACCGGGGCTCCAAAGGTGTTAATCTCAGACAACGAAGTACAGTTCACAAGCCACAAATTCAGGATGCAGATGTCAAAATGGGGAGTACACCAGTACACCGAACCGTAAAAACCATGATCGCACAGTTCGCGGGAGAAAGGCACGACCGATGGGACGACGTACTACCGGAGCTGACACTAGCATTTAACAGCAGCCGATCGGAATCAACTGGATACAGCCCGGCATACCTCACGTACGGGAGAGAACCAAGGCTGCCGGGAAGTCTGTTCGATGAAACAACGAAAGGCTCAGCGATAAACGAGGAGACCACGGAAGAAAGAATGGCGCGAATCAAGGAAACATGTGAGCTAGCAAGAAAGAACATGGAAAAAGCAGCGCAGGATCAAGCCAGAACATATAACCTGAGGAAACGCGAATGGAAGCCGAAAAAGGGGGACATGGTGTGGGTTCGACAACACCCACTGTCAAAAGCGTACGACAAGTTCTCTGCCAAGCTCGCACCGAAGTTTGAGGGTCCATTCAGAGTCATAAAGCTAGAGTCCCCAGTAATAGCAGTAGTAAAAGAGATAGGGTCGGGCAAGACACAAAGAGCATATGTAAATAACATGAAGAAATACTTAGGAGAACAGGGAATAGCACTCGACAACACCGAACCTAATAACACAAATACACTCACACAGGAACACTAGCACAATGGTCAAATTCAATAACGGGTCAACCCAGCTAGATTGGCAGGAGAAGTCATCAGAACCACCTCGAAAATTTAAACTGGCAAAGGAGGGGGAGTGCGACGACCCACGTCGCAACAACAAATATAATCCATAAGTAGAATTAAGCTGTCAAATAAGATTAAGAATAGTAGTGGCAACGCCGGCCAAGGAATAGCGCGTCCAGCCCTGAACAGCTGACGATAATCGAATGGATACGATCGATCTGGCAACGCCCTGCCTATCGGCCATCGGGGAATTATCGATTATCGATCGGGGGAGAACAGCTGTCGACCGGCTATATAAAGCGACGCACCGGCCAGTGCAACTTCACTTTTGCAGAGCAGCCGAGCAGTGAACTGGTGAGTTAACAAGTAGTACTAATCGTAGACTTAGCAGTAGAATAAGGTTTGGCCCTGGCGGCGGACCTTAATAGCAAAGAAGGTAGGAAAGGTGAAGGTAGCGATAGGTCTAGATCTGGCCCCCTGCAGGCGGATCTAACGAAGTAGCTGGGAGGAGCGGAGTTTGGCCCTAGTTGGCGGACTTCGCACAGATAGTCAGCCGTGGGACGAGGTCGGGCCCTTGCATGGCAGATCTCGCGGAAACAGGGTATCGAGCGCGGTCCGTATGACCACGCCGTACAGGTAGTATAGACTTGGGGTTCTGACCTGGCCCTTGGATGGCAGATCAGGAATAGGGGAGGGCGTCGAATGAGGTTCGCCACATTCGCCCAGCAAGCATAGGAGGGGAGAAGATCTGGCCCTTGCCGGCGGATCTTGATAGCAGAAAGGCGTTAGGGACGGTGCGAGCTTAGGCACGACGATCGCTCACCGCGAGTGACGTCACCCGGACCCACCTATCGTGACCACGACAGCGGCCCACCGCACCAGTCACGCACCCTAATCGCGTCGCCCGAACAGGGTATCCTCAAGCCGACTCCGAGATAGTCGCATCGCCCGAACAGGGTATTTACACGCCGACGACGATACAGTCGCATCGCCCGAGCAGGGTATTTACAAGCCGACTACGATACAGTCGCATCGCCCGAACAGGGTATTTACAAGCCGACTACGATACAGTCGCATCGCCCGAACAGGGTATTTACAAGCCGACTACGATACAGTCGCATCGCCCGAACAGGGTATTTACAAGCCGACTACGATACAGTCGCATCGCCCGAACAGGGTATTTACAAGCCGACCACGAGACAGTCGCATCACCCGAACAGGGTACTCACAAGCCGATCACCGACGATCGCATCACCGATACAGGGATCGCCACACCGACGATCAGCAGTCGCATCGCCCGAGCAGGGTAACCACAAGTCGACCCACTGGACTCTAGTCGCAGCGTCGCATCACCCACCACCGGGTATCATCGTCAGCCAGCCGGCTGAACACCATCGAAGACCGGGACACGGATCTACCCGCAACCAGGGTATCAACAAGACACCCCCACAGCAGCAACCACACTGTATTCTTTCCACAGGTTTCACTATATATCTTGATCAATAAAGCTTGTATTAAAATTACCTCTCGCCTCTTGCCTATTTACTGATTATTGGGACACGAGGAATTCGGACACTACAAATTTTCTGTACGAACCCCGACTCCGGCGAGCTAGGCCGAGCACCCCAAAAGAGGGTCGTTACACAGTTTAACAAACTAATTAAAGAATATTTAAAACAATAAGCAAAAGACTATATTTATAATATTTATAGTTTTAATATAGATTAAAAAAAAAAAATAAATAAATAAAATTAAAAAAAAATAAATAATTAAAAAAAATAAATAAATAAATAAATATAAAATAGAAATTAATTAAAAATAAATAAAAATAAAAATAATATAAAATAAAAATAACATAGTTAAATAAATAAATAATAAAAATAATTAAATAAAATATATATATAGCTAGTAAAATTAGTAAATTAATAATAAATAAATAACGAATAATTTTAGATAATAAGAATACAAATTGTTAGTAAGCCACCTTCTATTGTCTCTTCCTTCATCTTATGATGGCGTCATAACGGCCATTGAGACTTTGGCAGAAAATAATTTAACTCTTGCATTTGTGAAAAATAGATTTCTAGACCATGAAATAAAATTAAAACAGTCAGCGAAAGATACAAGCCTAAAAGTACTACAAGTACTAAATAAAGTAAATAAAACAACAAATATTCAAAATAAAACAAAATTCCAAAACAAGAATCAGTTCAAATACAAAAATAAATTTAATAAGCTAAATTTTCACTGCAACAAGACCGGGCATATTAAAAGGGATTGCTATAAATACAAAAATGAAAAGGAAAATAGTCATGAGAAACAGGCGCAAGCAGATCAGCAACAAAATGAACCAGTTCGAAGTTCCGGGTTCGCATTTATGTTAAAATGTAACAATAAGACCAATATGAACAAAGACCAAATTTCTTTTCTCTTAGATTCGGGTGCATCAGATCACATAATTAACAATGAATCGTTTTTGTCAGAAATTAATTTACTTGAATCTCCAGTTAAAATAGATGTTGCTAAATCTGACGAATATATTTTTGCAACTAAGAAGGGAAATATAGAATTATTAACTGATACGAAGACCCCCTATAACTCTTAATGATGTATTATTTTGTCCTGAAGTCGCTCAAAATCTTATCTCAGTTAAAAAGATGCAAGATGCTGGATTTACTGTCGTATTTCACCCAGGAGGTGTGCTTGTAAGTAAAGATAATGCAAATATAATGAATGCATATTATTTTGATAACGTTCCCTCTGTAAGATTTACAATACATAAGCAAGCATTTGCATTAAATAAAATAAGTTACATTTTATGGCATGAGAGGTTAGGGCATACACTGCCGCTCACTTGAATAGCCCACCCAAACATTCATTTTAAAACCCCAATGCCTACCAAAATTTTTTTTTCAAAAAATAGTCTTATTTATTTATTGAAGTATGTTTATATATGTAATAAAAATAATAAAAATGAATACTGGTTGTTCATCAAGATTAACATAAATAACCATAATTCCAAAAAGTGACAAAGTTTTAACTGAAAATTTGGCTCACTTGAATAGCACATTTTATAAAAACTTTATATTCTGACTATTTTTTCGGAAGAATTAATTATAATTATAATGTAAATAAAGAATAAGAAGCTTTCTTGACATATTTTCCTAAAATTAGTAATGAGTGGATCCACCACGATTATGGATGACTTCAAATACCCTGCTGGGTAAAGAGTCGCACATACTCTTAAGGTAGTCCAGGGAAATTGTTGACCACGCCGCTTGGATGGCATTAATGAGATCATTCTTATTATCATACTGCTTTCTGGACTCATAGACCTTTCTTGCTAACCATTCCCAAACATTTGCGATCATATTTAATTCGGTCGAATAAGGTGGCCAATATTGTAATATTGACACGTTTACCTTATCAAGCCATGGTTTTACGATCCTTGCCGTGTGTATTGGGGCATTGTCTTGCTGAAACTTTCATTTCAGGTTTCCAAACAATTATTTGCCTCAGGAAGGGCTTTCTCTAGAACTTCTTTATATGCTGTTGCATTCATTCTTGATGTTAAGAATTGCAGTTGGAGTGTGCCGTAGTAGGAAATCGCTCCCCGTACCATTACACCGCCTTCTCGACTGTGCTTTTTTTAAAGAAGGTTCCCCTTTACAGAAATCATAGAAATAAAAGATATATCCATCGGGCCCCTCAAAATTAAACATTTTTTTCGTCCGAAAAAAGGACTAGATACCACTCTCGATTGAGAGACATGTTAGGTCGGCAAAAAACAAGCCGTTGTGCATTTCGAGATGTGTTTAGCGGTGTTTTTTTTTTTTTTACGACGCTTTAAATATTCTGCTTTAGAAATGACGTGTTAACTGTGCCCAAGCTAGTCTTCACACCAGATTTTCCCTAATCTTTGCTGCAGAGTCATGGGAATTGGGTGCATGCCTCAAAATAGCTCTCCTGTCCGCGGGCTTAATTGCACTGGAGGTTCGTCCTTTTATTTTTTTCCCCATAATTCTGGGTATTCTTCAAATAGTTGCTTTTAACTTTATGACTTCGGTTTGTTTTTTTTTGCTATTTCTTGTAAAGAAAGGCCAACCTCCATAAAAGCTTTGATTTTTTTTTTTCCTTCGTCGTTTAACGGTTTTGCACTTCCCATTTTTCGTAGTTTCAAATATTTTTGATTTTATATTATTAAACTTTATTCAAATAATCATTTTTGTTTGACTTCCCCACTTTATATCGATCGTGAAATGATAATAAAAACAATTGTGCTATTCAAATGAGGCAAATTTTCAGTTAAATTTTTTTTTACTTTTTGGAAATATTTTTCTTTTTTGTTATTCTTGTTGAACAACCAGTATTCATTTGTATTATTTTATTACATATATAAACATAGTTTAATAAATAAATAATACTGTTTTTTTTAATATTTTATTTTGCGAGTTATTGGGGTTTTAATGTGAATGTCTTGGGTGGGGTATTCAAGTGAGCGGCAGTGTATAAGTAAAGGAAAATTCTTCGAAATTATTAATAAAAATTTATTTGAAGACTCTAACATTTTAAACAATATTAAACCAAGTGATGAGTTATGTGAGAGTTGCTTTAAAGGTAAACAAGCAAAACTCAAGTTTGAAAAATATAAGAATAAAGAGCATATAAAAAGACCGTTATTTGTGGTTCATTCGGACGTTTGTGGTCCAATCTCACCTACAACTATAGATGGGAAGAATTACTACGTGGTATTCATAGATCAGTTCACACATTACAGTGTTACGTATTTAATGACTTATAAGTCTGAGGTGTTTGCCGTTTTTAAAGATTTTATCTTAAAAGCTGAAGCACATTTTAATTTAAAAGTTGCAAATCTATACATAGATAACGGTAGAGAATATTTGTCAAATGAAATGCGAGAATTTTGTGCAGGAAAAGACATCAGCTACCACTTAACAGTTCCACACACACCTCAGTTGAATGGTGTATCCGAAAGGATGATTAGAACTATAACAGAGAATGCACGTTCTCTGGTTATAGGGGCAAGCCTACAGAAAAAGTTCTGGGGTGAGGCAGTTCTGACAGCTACCTACTTAATAAATAGAAGCCC